TTCATTTGCTACCACATTTGAAAAAAGTGTCCATAAAAGAATTCCCAATTGCCCAAAACAGTTGCTTGATGAATCAGCCTACAGAAGGTCTGCTGAATTATCTATGAGATTTAAGGCGGCTGATTCCGACTCTGTAGAAAAAATTATTAATGCATTAAATAGTTACAAAACTCCTGGTTTTGATGGCATTAGAGCCATTGACATAAAAATATTTGCAAAAAAATTAATATAGCCATTGCTAATCTCAGCAATGCAAGCATTAAGATGAGTAACTATCCCAATGAATTATAAATCGGTATTGTCAGACCGATATACAAAAAAGGTGGAACATCGGAATACGAAAACTATAGGCCAATAACTATTCTTCCGACAATTGATAAAATTGTTGAAAAATATGTTTGTAAACAAATTTATGAGTTTTATGACAACAACAAAATACTACAAGAAAAACAATATGGGTTTTAGCCTCATAAGAATACATCACAGTTGTTAACATCATTTACTAATAGTATATACAAACATCTAAACGAAAAGAAACACATATTTGTAGTATTCATCGACTACAGTAAAGCTTTTGACACACTCAGGCATAATAAGCTTATAAATAGTTTGCATGATAGTGGGGTTAGAGGACCTTTATTAAATTGGTGCAAGGATTACCTTGCAAACAGGAAGTTTGTAGTAAAAGTAAAAGATGCAATAAGCAAAACTGTAAATGTAACTTTGGGTACGGCTCAAGGATCAGTGTTGGGCCCGTTACACTATCTCACATATGTTAATAACTTAATAAACATATTGAAACATTGTGAAATATATCAATACGCAGATGACACATGTTTATTTATAGCTGGGAAAAATATCAATCACACCATGAGTCAACTGCAAGATGACTTTAACGTGTTAACCAAATGGTCGCATGACATGGGCCTAGTAATTAATTTTAATAAAACTAAAGTTATGTACATCAGTAGTACCAAAAACAGAAGTGACAATATACCCAAACTAATAGCTCATAGCCACCAGTGCTTACACACTACAAGCGTGTCCTGCAGCTGTTTCAATATTGATGTAGTGGAACAACATACCTACCTTGGGCTTATATTGATAGTCACCTTAGCTGAAAAGGGCATATTGACCATGTATGCGATAGACTTCGAGGAATTCTAGCCAAATTCTCTTTAATAAAATACAAAATACCATTCAACATAAGAATACAATTATATATCTCATTAGCAGAATCCATAATATCGTATGGTCTTTCTAGCTATGGTAGGACCTATAAAACACACCTAGACCGTATTTACACCTTACAACTCCGTATTTTAAAAACCTTACTACCAAAAACTGTCATGAACAAATTTAAAGACCAACAACATAATATCTTTGATTTCTGTAAAATATTACCTGTACATAATAAAGTAAAGTATATATTACTTATTGAAATTTTTTTTAATAAAAATCTACAAATTCCAATACAATACAATTTTAACACACGAAAGTCAAAGACGCCAAACTTAGCTTTACCAAAATTCATAAATCTATATGGAAAACGAACGTTAGAATATATGATTCCCGATATCATAAACAAACTTCCATCACAACTAAAAGAACAAATTAATCAACGCAACATCAAAAATATATTAAAGAATTATTTCTTAAGTAACCTATAATAAAAAAGAATTGTAAAATAAAAATAAAAATTTGTATTATAAGTTACACATTAATATTCTACAACTCTATCAATAATATAAAATAAGTTTATCTTTAATATAATTAATTAGTATCAAAGTATATACTTTATAACAGCCTGTATATGCGAACTCGACGCGTCAAGCCAGGTAGGCAAAGAATGCACTAAGACCCGAGAGCAAACCGGTTTCTTGACTGTACGGGGAGCGCGGTTCAATGCGTGCATTACAACATTATGATGTATGACATAATTATTACTAATAACAATTATTATGATATGTTTGTTGATGGCATCGGTATACGGTAAAGCTGTATAGCTTATGTTTATGCCGTAAAATATCAATTTAAATGTTGTCAAATTATTATCAGATAAATAAATAAAAAAAAATCCCTAGAGTACATATAAAATATTTAGTATAAAAATGTATTTGCCAAATTCATGCAAATTATCAAAAACGTGATTTTTTTCTTAGCAAAATATAAAAATTAACTAAATAATTGAAAACATTCTATATTTTAAACAGTATATAATATTAGCTTTAATCAAAAATAAAGGCGTCATAACATTGATGACGTCTTGAGAATTTATCTGTGAAATTATTAGGATTATTTCTATTATTAACACCACAGTTATTTAGAGAACAAGTAACCATTTTGGAAAATAGTCACTTACTAAAAATAACCACTATTACACTAAAAAATGACGAAATGTCTAGGAACTTATTTCTTGCGTGCCGACTTGTGCCGATCTATCATTCAATATCGGTTACAGAGTCATGAGATTTGGTATCCACTCTATCTTGCATTTTTGCCATAAGGAATTTTCTTCTCTCTTGCACACTATGTCGGCTTATACTAGCTTGCTACATATTTATTTATCTACATTCATAAGTACATTCCAATATAACCTCCTCGGTTACGCGCACGGAGATTGTAAATATAGGGAGTGCGTATTTCATACTAGAGAAACGTTCCTAAATCAGTGACCTTGAAATGAATGAAAGGCACCGAGTTAAGCGTTGCCTTTCTTTCTAATAGAGTGTCCATAATACAATATTTTGAGGATATTAATAGTATATACAGCATTACGGAAAACAAAATGTGTATTTTTTTTCAATATGGAAAGTGATGAATAATGTTATAATTAAACTCCGTTTAATATTTTGATTACATGATTGCTTCGCTACAATATTAAACCTTACGGCAATTAGTGGCGGCGTAGCGTAGGTTGGCACTCAGGGCGGTTTTCTATCAAGCACGACAATTTAATTTAATATTGTAAGTAATATGTGGATAGCGTTGTGGGCTACATCGTTGTGAAAACATCATGTTATTGTATTTTAGATATTACTGTACTTTGTAGCTGTTTGCTGTTCAATAATAAATAAAATAAAATAAAGTAAAGCAACCGCTAAAATAATACAAAAAATTGTATACATGCTAACGGGACTTTATTTTGCTAAAATATCCTAATATATTATCAAAATTTACTTCTTGTCATTTTCGATTGATAAAATGGAAAGATTGGTTAGTCCCGCTTGGCTCATTGTGAACCTTCAGTTAGATTTTATTAACTTGAGTTTTGAAAAGCTTCCTTCACATGAAACTTAATAGTAAAAAAATCTTAGACACAGCGCTAGATTCGGAACAGATTTAGAATAGCCCAATTTCACGAGAAAAGCGCCAATGAATTACATTGAACCGCTTCTTGGGAAGAAATGCTGGCAGCTTTCAAGTCGTAAAATCTCCAAATTTATATACCCTACAGAAAAATCATCGTAGATTTTTGTCAGATTTTGAACTATTACACGAAGATCTTTATCTGGTGACGTTAGCAGAGTGTAAGGCTGAACAACTCTAAATGTTACGAGAATATCATCCATTGCTCTGTAGCGATGGTCTAGTTCCTCGTAAAATCTGTCAAGGCATCCTAAAATAGCTCTCTGCAGCTCCTCTGGCTTATTCTAGCATATCGGGTCATTTCTCCTGGTAAACGTTTTCGAAATCTCCTCATTCCTATTCTCCCTTCAATCGAAATGTCCACATTCTCAAATTTTTGTTACGTAGGAAATAGCTTATTCCACTAGTTGAATACGTTGGCTTTGAAGAAAAATTTTTGGGCTTTGATTTTTATCACATACTTTTCCAGTGATAAACTAGATTATTATTATATTATTTAGTATTTACTTTTGTGTCTGACTAATTTCTTTTAGGATTTTACACCAAAAGGAAAGATAGCATAAAAAACTGAAGTCACACAAAGTAAGTAAAGTGTAAGAGTGGAGATGCTGCTTCTTTTGTATCGACGTTTTCTCTGTGGGTGCTGGGATCATATATACCTTCGAGTGTTTATACAAGTTTTTTAAATTATTCTGCAGTGGTTTAACAGCAATCCATTTTGTCTCTGCGACGGATACGCTTGCACTTTTTATTAAAGTTTCCAATTGACGTGTGCATGAAGAAAAGAACCTATAAACTCTTTCTACTGTTCCGAAAAAAAGTTAAACTTGAATTAACGCTCCCTAAGTGAGTGCACTCCTTATAGATTTAGCGAATGATTAGCACAAGGTATTTTCTTCGTGGTAGAGCCAAGCTGCAGCTATATTTGTAGTATAGTTGTAAAACAAATGGGACGGCTCGACCGGGGAAGGAACACGCACCACAGAATACCAGCGTAAAATAGCAGCTCAACACTGATGTGTTTCGTATGGTGAGTGTAGAGAACCGGAGACCCTTTTTACTGGAAAAAAGGCATTCCATCTTAGTCGTCACGGGTGAAAACGCATCTGCATTTTGATTCGCAAGCGAGGATAAATCTAGATGTCTATTATTTTTGTTCGTGTTACTTAATAATATGCTTAATTGAAATACAATATGGAATATACCAACTAGGATTAACGATAAAAAATGTAAGATCATCGTATTAGCATACGTCTAAAATATTACTTTAAATCAATAACTGTGTAAACGTTGGTAATGTTTTTATATTGTGTTAACATTTATCTCTCTTTCTAAGAAAAATGAGGAACGATTACAATGTTCCAAGCGCTCACTCCCTATATTATATTATAACAACCTTGGTACATTCTAAGTCTATGGTTTATTCTGTCTATTAGACAGTTACTATACTCTTTGAATTTCAGTCACTGTCAAGTGTCAAATGCTTAAACGTCAAATGTCAATGATCAATGTCGTTGTCGCCTTTCATTACAATGTTTTGCGATTAATGTGTCGCGGTTATTTCTTACGAAACATAATTAATACTAGTTTGTTATATAAAAGCGGTAGCCATTGCTTGATAAATCGACGAAATGTTTAAATTGCTTAATCGTCATGCGCGACGAAGTGGTATCATTAATTTGCTTAACGAAAAATTTGAGGTTAGGAAAGCTAAAGTATTTTACTGTTATGCATCAGTTGGACGTGTGAGATTTGCTTCTTCTCTCGGTAATGATGCAGGTAAAACTGTACCATTAGTTGAAAATATACCTGAACCACCACCTGTTCCTGAATCTTCATCCCTTGGCGAAATCACAGAGGCCGTTCAATCATTGGCTGCAAATGGTGAACCTACTTTTGCAAGTTTAGGTTTAGGTGGTTGGGGCCCAGTTGGAATTGTGCAAAATTGTTTGGAATATCTTCACGTTTCGTTAGATGTGCCCTGGTGGGGTGCAATTTTGATAGGTACTGTTTTTGTTCGAGTTGTTATGTTCCCCTTAGTTATAATGTCGCAACGAAATACTGCAGTAATGAACAATCATTTGCCAGAAATTCAAGTATTGCAATTAAAAATGACAGAGGCACGACAAACAGGCAATCAGTTAGAGGCTGCAAGATATGCACAGGAAATGATGACATTCATGAAAGAAAAAGGGTTAAATCCTTTGAAGAATATGCTTGTACCATTAGCTCAAGCTCCACTGTTTATTTCATTTTTTGTAGGCTTGAGAGGTATGGCCAACTGCCCAGTTGAAAGTATGATGCATGGAGGATTGTGGTGGTTCACAGATTTAACAGTACCAGATCAGTTCTTTTTGCTTCCATTGATAACAAGTGCAACTATGTGGGCTACTATTGAACTTGGCGTAGATGGAGGTCGCCTTGATGCACAGAATATGCAGCTTATGAGATATTTTCTTAGAGCAATACCAGTAATAATGATACCATTTACAATAAATTTTCCAGGAGCTATTCTTGTATACTGGTGTTCAAGTAACTTTATTTCTTTACTACAAGTTGGAATTCTAAAGTTACCAGCTGTAAGAGATTATTTTAAAATCCCGAGACTCATCAAACACACTCCAGAGAATCTGCCAATAAAGAAAAAAGGTTTTGTTGAAGGAGCTAAAGATTCCTGGACAAATATGAAAATTTCAAGAGATTTAGCTGACAGACAAAGAATTGACGAAATGATTTTTACTAAGGCAGGAAAAGGACCTTTGCAGAAAACTTACAAGTATGATCCTACTAAGTTATCCAATGTGCAAGCAAAACCAAAATAAACATTTAATAGTATGTAAATATAGTAAGTAATAAATTAAATAGCCATTCTGTGTTATATTCTTTTTTATTCATCCAACATCCAGCAGCATTAAAGACGTGTCATCTGGCACTGCAGTTGTAAATCTGTGTGCTAGGCATGATTAATGCATATCCTCTCTAATAAGCAAACCATCTAAATGTGGGCTATCAATCGCAGGTCTCAGAAAACTAATAGGTGTATGTGAGAGGTACGCTTTGTCATACGGACTCCTGTACAATGTTAAAAAGAGCGAGCTCTTGATCTTTCAAGCTAGGCGTCGTAAGCTGGGAGATGTGCCACGTGTGCTGCTAAATGGCGTCGCTCTAGGCAGGGTAAATGCGTTTAAATATCTTGGCCATGTGGTTACCGAGGATTTAAAAGACGATGCTGACATCGAAAGGGAAAGGAGGGCGATGGCGGTCCGCTGTAATATGCTGGCACGCAGATTCGCGCGGTGTAGCTTTGGAGTAAAGATAACTCTCTTTAAAGCCTTTTGCCAAACTCTATACACTTGCAATCTGTGGGTCAACTACACGCAGCGGGCCATCAACGCTCTCCGAATACAATATAATAACGCATTCAGGGTGCTGGTGGCGCTCCCGCGCTGCTGTAGTGCGTCTGCGATGTTTGCGCACGCGCACACGGACGGTTTCCACGCCGTGCTGCGACGCCGCATCGCCTCACTGATGCTCCGTACGCGGGGGAGCGCCAACACCATCCTGAACGTGCTCAGCGATAAGCCTGACAGCCCCCTTCTGTGGCACTGGATACAAATGCATGTGCCCGGTGCCCCAGAGGGTGGCAGATACATGAATTAAACTATAGATTAATTTTATTCAAGTAATTAATATATTAAAGAATCGAATTAAGTTATATTGAATTGATTTAAATTGAATTAAATTTTATTTTTATTTTGGATTTTATTGTAATTTAATTTTGGGTATAGATTTGATCTTAGTTTTGATTTAATTTAATTAAATTTATTTAATGTTCCTCAATTACTAACCTAATATAAGTCATACTAACAACTTATGGATCTTTGATATCTGAAATAAAGAATTATTATTATTATTATTATTATTAAGGGTCAATAAAGAGAAGTAAATGTATTCGCTAAATTTCTTATCATCCACTTCTTTAATATTGAAAGCAATTCTTTTTTCTCAATATCTAGTTATTAATATCTCTATATTTAGTAGCTCATTTAATTTTGCTATATTGTAAGAACAGTAGCTTGGTTTTCTTGCTGAATGGCTTTATTTTGACTTTGAGTGAAATAAGTATAAATATTTGCTGCACAAGCACCCACAAACAAGTAGGTTGCAGGGAATCTTCTCAGTAACACTTTCCTACTCATTTCTGCCACAAAACAGCTGCACATCCACTGGTGTGTTTCAGTTTGAAGGGTGTCTTGGGTACGTGTACTGTTAGGCTCCTGTGCCACTCAAATACTATAGAAAAACAAGAGATTACCAGAAAGTGGAATACCAGGTTATGAGTAATTATTTTTAAGCTCGATTTATATTGTTACATGTACTTGTTTCACATCTCTACATAGTATAAATCAAATTCGCTTCCAGCCGTCTGTATACTTAGATCTTTTAAACAAATTTTGATGTGGTTTTCATTAATCGACATAATGATTCAAGAAGAAGGTTTATATGCATAATACATGCATATTATTTAACTCTTCTGTTTATGTGTGTGACTGAAGTCATTCTAAACGGCTGGACCAATTTCTCGAATTTTGTGTGTGATTAAGTTGAGTTGAGAATGGTTTGGATTTGTAATTGGACCGTGGAGGTGGTGTTGTTGTTGAGATCCAGAAATCAACCATGCGAAGCCGGAGCGGATTGCTAGTATACACACATATGTATATTTTACCTTATGACTCTTGTAATAAGGACTTATAGTATCTATGTATATAAATGAACCTTCCTCATAAGGAATTATGCCAAAATCATAACATTAGAAAGGCTTGTAGGTGTATACCTTACAACAAGAGAGGGCTCAGCTTTGGAGTTTGATATTTTTTTTACAGAAAGGATACATTATTATAAGCACACAGGCAAAGTGTCAACATGCGGAAACGCATACTTTTTGAGAAAAAAATTATTGAAATCAATTATTTTTGCAATATTTATGTCAATTATATTGATATATAATTGACATACCCCCAATATCACCAATATCAACTCCCAACTCGACGGACGTCAATGGAAAGTCGTACCCAAGAGAGTTCCAGCAGTCCAGCAGTAGACTTACAAGCTGATGAACAATACGGAGAAGAAGAATGCCATAAGTTACTAGGAACTTCTATCAGTCTACTCTTTGGTTAAGCAGCGAAGATGTTCTGGATGCTTTTTTTACTTTAGTGACATTTTTTGAATAAACATATCTTCCATATTTTTAGTTTAGTTTAGTTTACGACGGGCTGTTTTCCGCAACTCCACGTCTATGCGCGTATTTTGCGTGTGGGCAGGAATAATGTGATTATTCGAGCCATGAGATCTCTCCGAAGAAGCTCAACAGGCCCTTGATGTTGCATGCAACTTCGGGGAGTGATCCCGGCGTGCCGAGATGTTTAGCCCTATATGTAGCGACCTCCGGACATTTCAGTAGCACGTGGGCCGCCGTTTCTTCCTCCCCCATACATGCCCTGCACAGGGGACTATCTGTAACACCTATAGTAAATAAATGTTTGTTAAAGGTGCCGTGTCCTGTGATAGCACTTGTTACTATCCTAATCTGCGGCTTGTTCAGTCTCATTAAAACTTTTGTTAAGCGACTGTTTATTTTATCCCTGGCTTGTCTACAGTCTACTAGATTTTTCAAAATCTGAGCGTGTTGATTAGTGAAGTGTCTACGTACCAGTGAACAAACGTTACCAAAGGGGATTGGTATGATTGGTTCCGGCCCTATAGTGGCCAAAGCCGATCCTCTTCTAGCCAGTTCGTCTGCTGCATCGTTGCCTCTGGATCCACTGTGTCCCTTTATCCATTGCAGGGTCACATTGTTGTTTTTACATACCTCATTTAATCGTAGATGGCATTCATATATTAGTCCCGAGTTCACCACATTGCATCTCAGGGCTTGGAGTACCGCCCTACTGTCGGTCAGTATTCTGATGGGGAAGTCATTATCCTTCCTAGCATCTATTGCTATGGCCGCTTGAATGATACCCATACATTCCGCCTGAAAGACCGTGTTATAGGTACCCAGCGGTGTGCATATGTGAATATTGATCCCCATCTTTTGCCAATCATGTTTCTGCATTGCCAGAAAGTTATACTAGCTTTGTTGATTTTGTTTTCTATGTGTTTATTCCAGTTAAGTTTGCTGTCCAAGGTAAGACCTAAATATTTTACCTCAGAGGATAGCTGGAGTTTTGTGCTAAAAAGACTTGGAGGATGATAGTTATTCAGCTTTCGTTTTTGTGTGAACATAACTAAAACCGTTTTATTTGGATTGACGGTTAAGTCGTGTTCCCTGCACCATCTCTCCACTATACGGAGAGCCGCTTGGGTCAGGTCGCACACTATGCTTGCTGTCTTTCCAGAGACCAGTATTGTCAGGTCATCAGCATAACCTACTGTATAGAAGTGATTGTCATTTAATTTGCTGATGAGTTCATTAATGACCATATTCCACAGGAGAGGTGAGAGAACCCCACCCTGCGGGCAGCCTTTCTTAATTTGGATTGGTTGAGATTCACCAGCAATCTTTATTATTCGTGTACTGAGCATGTAAACTATCCAGTCGATCAGTGCCGGTTCAACTTTGTGTCTACCGAGTGCACCTTTTGTGCTGGAGAAGTTCTTTCGGTCAAAAGCACCTTCTATATCTATGAAGGAACCTAGACATTTTTTTTTATAGGAGAGGGGGCAAACGAGCATTCGGCTCACCTGATGGTAAGTGACTACCGCCGCCCATGAACAACCGCAACACCAGGGGAATTGCAGATGCGTTGCCGGCCTTTTAAAAAGGAGTAGGCTCTTTTCTTGAAGGTCCCTAAGTCGTATCGGTCCGGAAAAATCCCTGGTGGTAAACTATTCCACAAGGAAGTTATGCGAGGAAGAAAACATCTTCTAAATCGCACAGTGGTGGACCGCCAATCATCCAGATGGTGTGGATGGTATCGGGAGTTCTGCCGCGATGTGCGTTCGTGAAATTTGGCGGCTGGGATTAATCCGAACAATTCCTCAGAGCACTCCCCATGGTAGATGCGAAAGAAAATGCAAAGAGATGCCACATCTCTTCGCAGTGCCAATGAATCGAGCCGATCGGAAAGGGCTCGGTCGTCGACGATTCGAGCCGCTCTGCGCTGGATGCGGTCAAGTGGAAGGAGCTGGCACTGGGGAGCCCCTGCCCAGAGATGGGAACAGTATTCCATGTGAGGCCGAACCTGCGCCTTGTAAAGTTGCAGGCGGTGTGCCGGCATGAAATACTGTCCCGCTCTGCTGAGCACGCCAAGCTTTTTAGAGGCCAATTTGGCCTTCTCTTCCAAGTGACCACGAAACTGCACGTCACTCGATATGTCGACTCCGAGGTTACCGATACTGGCTGAGGCAAGAAGGGGAGTGCCTTGAAACTGAGGAGATACGACAAAGGGGTTCTTTTTAGCGGTAAACGCGCAAACTTGTGTCTTCTGAGGATTAAACTGGACTAGATTTAGTCGCCCCCAATCCGAGACTTTGTCCAGCAAAGACTCGACTTCAGACACAAGTTTGTTCCGGTACTCGGCGACGTTTTCCCGAGAAATATTGGCCCGGCCGGTGTATAGAGCATCACCAGTGCTGTCATCCGCATAGCAATGAATGTTACCAGTTAGCAACATATCATTGATATGCAGAAGAAACAGCGTTGGTGATAGCACACAGCCTTGTGGAACACCAGCGTTAATAGGCTTGTAGTCAGAACATGCACCGTCTACAACGACCTTGATGCTCCGATCTGCAAGAAAGCTGGTGATCCAATTGC